TGGATCGAGTAGCGACACCCGCAAACAATTTTACGAATGGGGAACCTCGCTATAACGCGGTATGGTTTCCTGACCGTATCGTTGGAAGAAAACAGAAGGGTACTCATGGTGGGGTGTTAAATGTTGTGAAGCATAAATCCCCTCTTTTTATGATGTTTACGGTGGGTTTAGCAGCAGAGCCGAGTTAATGGGCATGTCACAGGTTATCGCAAATATCACACCCCTTTGGGGTCCTAGTCTCTGAAATGAACATATCGTACATAAAAAAACCAGTTGTTCAGTTATCTTAATAAAAAATATAATAAAAAGGAGCCCAGTGACTCTCTTCATTCCTGATACTGCAGTGATCTAGACTTGCCAAACATTATAGACTTGCATGGGCTGTATTTGATATATATTTGTATCAGGGTCTGTAAGACAGACTAGGGTCCTTTCAAGACCGTGCCCCAGCCCGGGCTCGGTTCAAACAAGACTTGCAGCCAGATCCGCTATCTGTCGTAGATCTCCTAAAGCCAAATGGATATAATAGCGAAGGCCAAATTAACCCTATTTCTGAGAGATGGTTAGCTACTCTAACGTATATAAACAGAGCAGTCAAAAAAATTCTATCAATTTCTAAAAATCCTAAATAATATATCAATACTAAACCAAGAAATCTTATCAATACAAAAACAGAAAATTGATCAATACTAAAACTCACAATATATATGTGTACCCTACTCACAAACATGAGTCCCAAAGAGGGACAAGTCAGCCGAAATTGCTGAGGCAGAAGGCGACCTATTAAACACCTAAAGCAGCAGCAGCAACAACAACAACAACAACAACAACAACAACAACAACAACAACAACAACAACAACAACAACAACAGATGCTGGCTAAGCATAGGTTCCCAAATATTCCAGTTATATGACGGCGACCTAAACAATTGAGCCAGGACCAAACAGGCTAGTGATCAATATTATGAGCAACGTCTCCCGCCGTCGTGGTACGATGACACGCCATGAACCAAGTCATCAAGCATAACTACCCGATCCATAAAATCGTCCATTATACGACACGCGTTTGTATAGGAGTGTGAGTGAGTATGGTTTTACGCCGCTTTTAGCAATATTCCAGCAATATCACGGCGGGGGACACCAGAAATGGGCTTCACACATTGTACCCATGTCGGGAATCGAACCCGGGTCTTCAGCGTGACGAGCGAACGCTTTAACCACTAGGCTACCCGACCGCCCCCGTTTGTATAGGAAGTAGAAGAGAAGAAAAGGGTGTTTGAAAGGCATTTGGAAGTGATACACATAAGGAAGAGAATATACGGATGTCAACTTCTTTATTGTGAGGAACACAACGTTTCGGAGTATATGCTTACTCCTTCATCGGGTGAATTATAAGATATACCACATCAGGGCCCACTTGCACAAAGCGATCTTAGCGCTAAGATGATCGTAACTCCCATACTTTAACATAGGCTTACAATAGTCGTAGCGCTAAGATCGCTTTGTGCAAGTGGGCCCAGGTCCTTATGCCGAAAAGTCACATTGGACAATGAAACACTTTAAATAAAATATAAGTAAAAGTTGTAAAGTCAACCGTAACATTGCTGACAACGCCAAAGGAGGCACGACCCAGTCTAGCCCGGAAACCCTATGGGTCCTTTACTGAACCTACTCACGTGATTGAATGTTGTTTTGCGGCTGAGGCATTAATATTCAAGCTCTTATGGTGAGGTGAAATGGGGTTAACCGTCGCGTCCAAGATTATTGCACTTATATAGTGACGTGCACACGTGCACACGTGTGTGTCTGTGTGTGTGTGTGTGTGTGTGTGTGCTTGTACTTGCCTAGACTAATGCCATATTGATAGTGCTAGCCCCCTGAGATACCATGCCGCAGTTTAACATTGATACCCAACTCAGACACAGAATACTGACTCCGAGACAACCGGTCCTTGTTTTAGCCCCTTGATGCTGAGCGCCAGGCAAGGTAACAACAAGTACTATTACTTAACGTTTTTTGGTGTGACGCGGCCGGGGATCGAACCCCAGCGGACGCTCTACCACTAGACCACGGATCGACATGATGTCTTTTAGGTTTCTGATCGTGATTCCAGACTTCCACATGTTGAGTGAGTAGTCGGTCTATAACCCTGTTCATTTATTCAAATCAATCAGATAATATATATCTCATGAATACTCTGAATATCGAAACCCGAGTGGAGCCAAGAGCTGTTGAATTAATTTACCTGGGTGTGGGCAACCTCGATTATCCAGTATTATATCTCCGTTCTTTCTTGAAAAGAGATTTCCTTTTTCATTGATTGAAGATTTCTAAATTTCGAAAGTTAAACTTACCCCGTGGTATTTTACGCAAATACACAGCTCTGTAATCTTATGTTAAGGGCATCTTGTACATGGTTGTTTAAACATTGCCCAACCCTTCTAACATTAACTGAAAATATTAAAACCACAACAAACAGATTAACCTCTATAATTTTTGTCATTATATATATAATGCATACAAATTAATAACTTGTCGGAATTGTAACATATATACATCTCAGCCCAATGCTGCAAGCCACCGGTATCAGCAGCTGGTACAAGGCTACATAAAACACAGTACTTATAACATAATGAATATTTACATACCGTATTCGACGTAATAAGCGCCCAGGGCGCTCTCAAAATTAGAAATAGGGGGCTTTTTTTAGAATATTATTTTGGTGGGAAAAAACAGAGTTGGAAGATCGTAAATTTCGTGGTTTATGCTGACAGCCTGAAATGTTTACATACGACAGATATATTTTTCAGGAATTTAATTGCCAATCATTAAGGGTGCATATAACACACGAGTGCGTATTATACACGAATAAATAAGTCCTGTGTACATTCTTCGATCGGAAAGGGGTGCTGATTGGGATTGTTCACTAACCAATATATTTGCAAATATCGCCATGGGCGCTTATTAGAGCGGGGCGCTTATTACGTCGAATACGGAAATGGTTATTCAATTGGCATTTGACTAGGCCTCCAATAGACTTTACATGCTAACCAAATCAAACATTCTAGGTATGTCGTTCAGTGTGTGTGTGTGTGTGTGTGTGTGTGTGTGTGTGTGTGTGTGTGGTTCGAAGACTTGGTTGGTTGCATGTCATTGTATCTCAATTGCATGAATCAATGCTCATTATGTTAATCACTGGATTGTCTGGTCCAGCTCGAGTATTTTCAGACTAACGTCATATAGCTGGAATAGTGGTGACTGCGGCATTAAACAACAAACAAAACATAACACTGCAATTGTAGCCATTAGTTCTGATCATATTACATCAGCGGCATAATTCGGATTCATAAGTCTAGGCAGTATTTCAAAGGTGAATTAATCATAAATTTGGTGGGAAACGCCCCTGTGTTTATAACTTCATTGAATGACAAAAGTATTTGAACAAATGTGTGTGTTTATAATTTATTAACGGAATCTAGCATCCATACAAACAGCACGTTTGTGATAACGCTCCCGTGGGGATTCAGGATCGGTAAAGGTCCCCAGTAGTCTACCGTATTTCCTCGAATAAAATGCCGATTTCGAATAAATGCCGAGGTCTCGATTTAACTCCGGGCCACGATTAAACGCCGGGTAGTTTATATGCACAGAATTCTCCCCATTATTAAACGCCGGGAATAAAGAGTGTCTGAAGGATATATACTCCCGGGCGTTTAATCAAGGAAATACGATATGCTTGTCGTAAGGGCAACTAAATGGATCAAGTGATAAGTCTTGGTGACTCGCTTTGCAGAGATGCGTCCCTTGGGAACGCCAGAAACCTATATGATGGTTGGTTTGAATCCCGGTTTGCCCCTATCATGTTTTTAGGTTTGTCAGCACCATACCTGTGCTCGTGGGTTTCACGGAAGTGGTAAACGTGTAAGACCTGCATCACTTCGGGCTTTCCTCCCACATTAAGCTGATACGCCGTGATATAACTGGAATATTGTTAAAAGTGGCGTTAAACCCAACTCACTCACTCACTCTCTCTCTCAAGGAATCTGTAAAGTAGTTCAGCGAAAGAAGTGATTTTTACCATGTTGATACTGCCATGTAATGATGTCTACATTAGTGATAAGAAAATTAAAAAATGAGAATACACATCTCATAAGCCGTACTCTCTCTCTCTTATTCTCTCTCATAGGCCGTGGTGTTTCTGTGTCGGTGTGTGCAATATAGTGAGTGAGAGAGGTAATGCTTTAAGTCACATCGGCAATATTTCATCCATATCGTGACGGAGTGTGCAATATAAAGTTTGGTCTCTCTCAATTTGAGTCGACCCGTGAAGATCCGGGGTAGAATAGGTCTTCAGCAACCCATGCTTGCCGTAAAAGGTGACTATGTTTGTCGTAAGAGGCGACTCACGGGATCGGGTGGTCAGGCTCACTGACTTTGTTGATGCATGTCATTGTATCCCAATTGCGTGGATCGATGCTTATGATGTCAATCACTGGATTGTCTGGTCCAGATGCGATTATTGCGTCCCTTGGGCACGCCAGAAACCTATATGATGGTGGGTATGAATCCCGGTTTGCCCCGATCATGTTTCTAGGTTTGTCAGCACCATACCCGTGCTCGTGGGTTTCACCAAAGTGGTAAACATCTGAGACCTGCATCACTTCGGGTTTTCCTCCCACATCAAGCTGACACGCCTTGATATAACTGAAATGCTGTTCAAAGGGCGTTAAACCCAACTCACTCATTGTATCACGACTGCATGCAACCTTGCACGTATCAGTCATCGGTTTGTCTGGTCCGGACTCGATACTGTATACAGGCTGCCGTCATATAGCTTGAATATTGTGTGGCGTTAACAATTAACACCAGTACATCCATACAAAGATTGTACTATAGAGCCAAGTTGCTCCATAAGTGAAACTGGAATGAATTTCACGGGTAGTATTTTCCGCCAACACCGGTATCAAGTGGTAGTATCAATCAATGCTTGAGTGATGTCACGTGATATGCTTCCGAATACCACTGATACTCAAGTCATATATCCATTCATAAGACTAGCGTAGCTGGCCGAGCAGGTGGATATTTATAGACAGCGTGGTTTTTCGCGCAGGATATCCCCTAAAAACTGTTCACGTTTGAAAACTGACGCACTTTCATAATTCATTTCCATTTCGGCACCAGACACATAGGCACTGATGGCGATGTTGCCGGTACGGTTTCTTTCAAGATGCAGGAGTGTAAATCTCTTTCACGATCAAGGTAAGACTATGAGATGGTTTATCTTCACGCTTATGAACTGTTAGACTGTTAGCAGTCAACCATGGCACAAACTCCCTCTTTCGTAGGCTGCTCGTCCGACCCGGCGGCCATACTATTTATTATAACGCGGTTCTCCGACAGCGACCATTTGACGGCATGCTTTGGATGCCGGGTAGACTTGCTTTGTATCTTTCATATCGTTTTCCGTGTTTGCGTTGTAATTATAGATGTGTCGCTCCATGATATAATCGCAAATACATACACACACAAATTCAACTCTTTCACAAGTACATGTGTTTTTTTTCCAGCTCGTTGCTCCGCTGTCACTTTTCTCCAGGGAAGGCGTTATAGCGGGGTTGGCCAGGTGAGTGCTGGAAGCCCATCTCGTATTTCGGACAGTAATGGTATATTTGATACCATATTTCGTTTTTCAATATGCATACGATATTAACAACATAAACGACTCCATGGTATCATTTGAAAGACGTGTGACACGTGGAACAGCTTGAATTCACAGGGTTTGAAAGTAGGTTGACCATGCCTGGTTTATTTTGGAGTGACGTGTGAGAAGTTTTCCTTCTTGCTTCCTACTTCCTGGTAGGAACAGCTATCAGGTTGTTACATGTCATGTGTATATAGTAGCCTGTTTTGCATACTGTGGTATGTGGACCAAAGACGTGCATACATCTATATACCTCTTTGTGTAGACTATGTGAAAGAATGAGAGTGAATATTGTTTTACGCAACTCACTGGAATGTTTGTTTGTTGTTTAACGCCGCACTCAGCAATATGCTAGCGGTCTGGAAATAATCGCGTCTGGACCAGACAATCCAGTGATTGACATCATGAGCATCGATCCACGCAATTGGGATACAATGACATGCATCAACCAAGTCAGTGAGCCTGACCACCCGATCCCGTTAGTTGCCTCTTACGACAAACATAGTCGCCGTTTACGGCAAGCATGGGTTGCTGAAGACCTATTCTACACCGGATCTTCAAGGGTCGACTCAAATTGAGAGAGACCAAACTTTATATTGCACACACCCACACAGAAACACCACTGCCTATGAGTGAGTGAGTGAGTATGGTTTTACGCCGCTTTTAGCAATATTCCAGCAATATCACGGCAGGGGACACCAGAAATGGGCTTCACACATTGTACCCATGTCGGGAATCGAACCCGGGTCTTCGGCGTGACGAGCGAACGCTTTAACCACTAGGCTATCCGACCGCCCCCCACGGCCTATGAGAGAGAATAAGAGAGAGAGTATGGCTTATAAGATGTGTATTCTCATTTTTTAATTTTCTTATCACTAATGTAGACATCAATACATGGCAGTATCAACATGGTAAAAATCACTTCTTTCGCTTAACTACTTTACAGATTCCTTGAGAGAGAGAGTGAGTGAGTGAGTTGGGTTTAACGCCACTTTAAACAATATTCCAGTTATATCACGGCGTGTCAGATTAATGTGGGAGGAAAGCCCGAAGTGATGCAGGTCTCAAAGAGAGAGAGAGAGAGAGACAGCTTACAAGATGTGTATACTTATATAGACATCATTACTTGCCAATATGAATTTGATCAAAATCACTTTTTATCTTTACTACTATACAATTTCCTTGTTTTTTAATTCAGATTTTGTTAAAAATTAATACGGGTTTCTACTGAAAAAACAGGTCTGATAAAGCTGCCACATTAATACAAGTTTGTATCCCTGCCAGCAGAGACCATATCTATTATATGGTCTCTGCTGCCAGTGGTTGTGTCGTTGACACCTAAAATTGTTCAAGAAGTCCTGAATCAAATATCAAAAACGACTGATCATGACATAGTCATATTTAAAACATAATTTATGTCAATTACAAAGTTTTGGTTACTGTGTAGTAAGTTGGCTAGACATAATCATGTATTATTTTGGAATTTCAAATTTTGACCTCAATTTGGACTTTGCACATTGACCCAGCCCTTAAATCCTCTTATAGTGCATTATTGACTGTATAAGCATCTGTGAAACCAATAGATTGATGAGGGTTAGACCTTTTATACATGTCCAATGTCGACAAGTTTAATCAAAAGCCACATTGATTTTGAAAGCTGAATTTGGTGAAATATTCAACTTAGAAGTATAAATTCAAATATAAATATGTAAGTTGGAATTACTTGAACATGTTCAAGGCATCTTGATGGACATTTAGTTTCAGCCATCGTAGAAGGTTTTGTCAAGGTTTTCCTATTTAGAGTGAGGAGAAAATATTTTTTATTCAGATCTTAAACATCTTAAAAGAGAAACCTTAGTTATGCCAAGGGTTGAATGAGTGAGTGAGTATGGTTTTACACCGCTTTTAGCAATATTCCAGCAATATCACGGCGGGGGACACAAGAAATGGGCTTCACACATTGTACTCATGTCGGGAATCGAACCCGGGTCTTCGGCGTGACGAGCGAACGCTTTAACCACTAGGCTACCCGACTGCCCCAGGGTTGAATGAATATAAGTAGATATTAATGCTTTTGTACTGCTTAAAATTATACAAGAAATATCTATATCTATTCCCAATTAATTTTCCCTTCAATAAGGCAGTGATCATGTTTCTGTAGATATTCATGTCATATTGATTTAATAAAGCAATAGTTATTGGTATTTGTTATTGGTATAAGACCAAAATTATCCTCTTCCTCTTCTCCTGATCATCTTCCTCTCTTCCTCATAGACCGCCTCTGTGGTCTAGTGGTAGAGTGTCTGTCCGGAGAGTGGAAGGTCCGGGGTTAGATCCCCAGCTATGTCATACCAAAAAACGTTAAGTGATGGTACTTGTTGTTACCCTGCCCGGTGCTTGGTATAAAGGGGCTAAAACAAGGACTGGTCAGCTCAGAGTCAGTATACTGTGTCTGAGTGGGGTATCCATATTAACTGCGGCATGGTATCTCAGTGGACTAGAACTAAAAATCGGCATCAGTCCAGATTAGTACAAGCCTCCACACACACACACACACGTGCATGCATGTCACTTATATAAGTGCAATAATCTTGAATGCGACGTTAAACCCCATCTCACCTCACTTCACCTCATTATCTTCCTCCTTCCCATCACCATCTGTATTCCCTTCCTCATCATCATGGGGTGGTCGGGTAGCCTAGTGGTTAAAGCGTTCACTCGTCACGCCGAAAACCCGGGTTCGATTCCCAACATGGGTACAATGTGTGAAGCCCATTTCTGGTGTCCCCCTCCTTGATATTGCTGGAATATTGCTAAAAGCGGCGTAAAACCATACTCACTCACTCACTCACTCACTCATCCACTCACTCATCATCACCATCAGCAGCATCATAAATCATCCTCGGCTTTCGCAATCAACATTGTGTTTCCATAGTGTTCCAGTATGTTTCCGGGGGCCATGGGTGGCCCAGTCGTCTTAGGCGCCGTGATTAGCTGTGCAGAGTTGCGTCCCTTGGGCACACCAGAAACCTATGATTATGGGTTCGCCCCGATTGTTTCTAGGTTTGTCAGCACCAAACCTTGCTTGTGGGTTTCACCGAAGTGGTAAACGTTTGAGACCAGCATCACTTCAGGCTTTCCTCCCACATTAAGTTGACACGCCACGATATAACTGGAATACTGGTTAAAAGCGGTGTTAAATAGGCCTGGGATGAGTCCAAATTTACTACCCGGGTACCCACACCCCTATTACTCGACCCTACCCGGGTACCCGCTGTTGGTGTCATGAGATAGGTACAAAATGTCCAATTGGGAATAGTTTGACAGTAGCCCTGGCAAAATGTATTTAGATACACGTTTAAAATGATGTGGTCATGCATACACTAAAGTTGACTGAAGTTTTAGCTATGTTCAAAAATATATAAGTCAGAAGGAACGTGTTCATAGTCATAAAGAAATGCGAACATGAGAGACTTAAAATTTTCGTGTAACCATGCAGTTATATAGTGAATTTTTGTCATGAAACAATATATCACGTGACTAACCACGGGTCCGGGTAGTCCTGTGGGTACCACCATCCTCATCAGATACCTGTAGATTTAGCAACGCTAAAATTTAAATTGACCCAAACAAACCAACAGTCTTCTTTTAGCTGGACAAAATCTTTTCTAGAATATTATGTTTGTTTGTTGTTTGTTTCTTGTTTAACGCTGCACTCGGCAATATTCCAACTATATGACAGCGGTCTGTGGTAAACTCAATCCAGTGATTGACATCATGAGCATCCATCCACGCAATTGCGATACAATGACATGCATCAACCAAGTCAGTGAGCCTGACCACCGATCCCGTTAGTCGCCTCTTACGACAAGCATAGTCACCTATTACGGCAAGCATGGGTTGCTGAAGACCTATTCTACCCCGGATCTTCACGGGTCGACTCAAATTGAGAGAGACCAAACTTTATATTGCACACACCCACACAGAAACACCACGGCCTATGAGAGAGAATAAGAGAGAGAGTACGGCTTATGAGATGTGTATTCTCATTTTCTAATTTTCGATCCGAACCCGTTAGTTGCCTTTTATTACAAGCATAGTAACATTTTATGGCACGCATGGTTACTAAAGACCTATTCTACCCCGGAAACCTTAGTTATGCCAAGGGTTGAATGAATTTAAATTTTAAGTAGATATTAATGCTTTTGTACTGCTAATATTTATACAAAAAATATCTATCCCCAATTAATTTTCCCTTCAATAAGGCAATGATCATGTTTCTGTAGATATTCATGTCGTATATTACCAGTGCAGGACTCGCGCCAATTTCTAACGCTGCCTATTATTCCAGTCTTCAAAGAATGGAGTAATTTGGTTGGATGGCTACTTATAGTATTGTGTCATTGGAACCGAACTCCAAACGAAGCTATGGTGAATGAGTATAGGGCATAAAATGGAGAAATTACACCTTGAATAAAATAAAATATGTCCTTATGTGTGTGATATTACGTATCTATATATGACATTGTGATCAAATTTTTGTAGTGCAGTGAAATTCTAATGATACATTTCACCCCTATGATGAATCCCTATACTCCTGGAACTTCGGGCATCACGACTTTCAAGCTTGTTTCAGGCCATGTTCATTCAGCATAGTCCCTGTGGGGAATATTGGTCCCGAGCAACCTATGTTGTCGTAAAAGGCTAATAAATGGATCAGTCTTGGTAACTTGGTCCGAGCAATCCGTGAAGATCCGGGGTAGAATAGGTCTTCAGAAACCCATGCTTGCCGTAAAAGGCCACTATGTTTGTCGTAAGAGGCGACTAACGGGATCGGGTGGTCAGGCTCGCTGACTTGGTTGATGCATGTCATCGTATCCCAATTGCGTGGATCGATGCTCATGATGTCAATCACTGGATTGTCTGGTCCAGATGCGATTATTTACAGACCACTGTCATATAGCTGGAAGATTGCTGCGTTAAACAACAAACAAACAACCTTGATTCAAGCATGTCAAGCACCTTGACAAAGTGGATTGTTGCTCACAATATCAGTCACTGGAGTATCTGGTCTTTACTCAATTTTATACTGGCCGGCATAGCTGAAATATATCTGAGTGAGGCGTTAAACAACAAATGAACAAATCAAACAGCACAGTAATATGTTATTTTTTTTCCGTTACAGAGATCCAAAGAACTGAAACAGATGCTCACATCCAACAATTTAGAATACTTAATGGAAGCCCATAATGGATTGAGTGCAAAGATTGTCCAAGAAGCAGGTACACTTGAGTGAGTGAGTGAGTTCAGTGCCGTTTTGAACAGTATTTCAGCTATATCACGGCATTGATGTGGGAGGAAAGCCTGAAGTGATGCAGGTCTTAAACCACATTTTTAAACACATAAGTATGGGTATGGTAATGACAGACATAATCATTGCAAAACTTGGATTCAATCTCACAATCAGTGGATCCTGGCATAGCTAAGGGACATAATTCTGCAAAGACCTTCCATGCCTCATGGCTGTAAAGACAAATGCCAATAGTTTACTTGAAGCTGAAATGTAGTCTGTCTTACAGACCCTGATACAAATATGTATCAAATACAGCCCATGCAAGTCTATAATGTTTGGCAAGTATAGATCACTGCAGTATCTGAAAATGAAGAGAGTCACTGGGCTCCTTTTTATTATATTTTTATTAAGATAACTGTTAATAACAGCTGTTTTTTCCTGTATGATATGTTCATTTCAGAGACTAGATGTTATTCTAGCTGAAATGCTGCAGACATCCTAGCAATGATATCATCAAAAATGGCTCGCAGAATTCACATCTTGTTGTGAACATGTCGAAAAGTCATATTGACAGTTACTCAGCCAGCACACATCATGGTGTAATTTGATATGCATGGATGTATTGTTAATAGTGTTCTCTATTGATCACTATTTTTGTAGTCCATCTGTTACCTATTTGCCTGTAACCTATGCAGAGTGTGACTGTTTTAATTCATGATCACAGCAATGGTGAGGTGAAGGGAGGTGAACATGGTGAAACGAAACAGTTAAAGTGGCATAAAGTTTAATTTGGAAAAAATCTTAAGAACCAATTTTTGATTTGGTGCGTCCTTATTTCAAAATTTCTATTAATATATGTAACAATTTTATCCAAATTCGAAAAGTAAAATTTAATATTGTGGGGCCTTATTTCAAAATTTGTATTCTGACATTTAATATTCTAAGCCAAATCTAAAGAACATGTTAATTAATTTTGTGGAACCTTATTTCCAAATTTCTAATCACAGCTGTAATAACCTTAACAAAATCTAAAGATGAGTTAATGATTTTTGTAGGGCTTTGTTTAAAACTTTATTCACTCCTTATGCTGCTGAAGAATGTATACCGTATATGTCCGCAGATAAGCCGAATTTTGAGGACTAGAAAAAAGATTCTGTAGAAAGGGGTCGGCTTATCCGTCGGAAACATCGCCTGAATGATGGTCCGATAGATTATAACGTCCAGAAAGTTTGGAAGTTGCCACGTCTTCAGCCGTTATTGTTAGAATGATCAATAAAGTTATTATTATACACCCATGTTGTCATTATTAAATAATTTTTTGCATGTTACTATTTCCGATCATAAGTTTTCAAATGTTCAAGGTTTTTCTTCTTAATAAACATGTGACATCAAAGATCCGTGACTCGAGATGTACCATTTGTTTCGTGCAGGATTAGCGTGTAAAGTTTGGAAATCACGTGCAACATATCGTGATAAGAATAAAGACACTCCGGTAACACTTGACTCATTGTTAGTTTTGTCATTAAGTGGTACACATAGGAAACAGGAGTATGTATTGGTATTTTGTCAACGTCAGGTTTCAAGGGTGTGTGGGCGAGCGGCTTGGCGATGTCAGATCAGATGGGGATGTGAGACAGCAATGAGTATATATTGGTATTTTGTCACCGTCAGGTTTCAAGGGTGTGTGGGCGAGCGGCCTGGCGATGTCAGCTCAGATGGGGGTGCGAGACAGCAATGAAGCGTCCTGGACCCAAGTCCTGGATATTCTGGAGTTCATGACGGACGCATGCGATATTCCTGTATTGGTGGATGCTGACACTGGCTACGGCAACTTCAACAACGCACGTAGGCTTGTGAGGAAGCTGGAAGAGAGAGGCGTAGCTGGTATGATCCGTTTGTCGGTTTTCTTGAGAATTATTTTAATATAAAGATGAATACATATTTTTCACAGAAAATGTGGCATATGCTTTGTTAAAAAACATTGATTAAACTATTTTGAAATATTCTCTTGAACTGATGATAATTAATTTATGCAGTTCAAAAGTTATTCATGCACAGAGAAAATATTTTCTCTCATGTCAGCCATAAAATTATGTATGGCCATTTTTGTTCAAAATGTCATGAAGTTTGGTACATGTATACCGTGTGTGAAATACGCACAGTGTCGGAAAGCGCACGTTAAATCTCCAATAGTAAGTAAGTAAGTAACGGGGATCAACATGTATGTTCCAATTTGGGGGGGGATAATTTAAATTTTGACCTTGACTTAACCTACGCAGTTACCAAATTAGCCACAAATCAAACTGGACACCATTTAAAAAAAAAAATTATTGACAAGGAAAATTTGTGAGATGAAAAATAAAATTAATCTCAAAATATTAAGTCACTGTAAATGCTTCCACTAATACTTGTTTACAGGTGCATGTTTAGAAGACAAGCTGTTTCCAAAGACCAACTCATTACACGATGGCCGTAGCCAGCCTTTAGCTGACGTAGAAGAGTTTGCACTCAAGATCAAGGTCAGTCAATACGAGTCAGTTAAATTCCATGCTTTTGTAGTTCGAAATCCAGTAGGGGTAGGACAGTTCACAATGTCATGATATAAACTGCTGGGCAAAAGAAAGTAGACACCCATGTTTGATGGTAGCTGAGGGGCGGTCAGGTAGCCTAGTGGTTTAAGCGTTCGCTCGTCACGCCTAAGACCCGGGTTCGATTCCCGACATGGGTACAATGTGTGAAGCCCATTTCTGGTGTCCCCCGCCGTGATATTGCTGGAATATTGCTAAAAGTGGCGTAAAACCATACTCACTCACTCACTCACTGATTGTAGCTGAAAATGAAACAAACAAGAAATGGTCATTCAGTGGTGATGTATGGGTGTCAAAGTTGTGTTTTGGACCGTAAGTTTGCAGTGTTTTAGTGACTGTTTTTTGGTCATCTTGTATATTTTTGCTGACAGTTTACATATATATATCAGTTATGATAGTGAGGTCACAATGATACATTTCATGATAATGGGGTCACAATATGATATGTTTCATAATAGTCACAATATGATACATTTCATGATTGTGAGGTCGCAATGTGATATTTTTCATGATTGTGAGGTCACAATGTGATGCATTTCATGATTGTGAGGTCACAATGTGATATGTTTCATGATTGTGAGGTCACAATGTGATGCATTTCATGATTGTGAGATCACAATGTGATATGTTTCATGATTGTTAGGTCACAATGTGATATGTTTCATGATTGTGAGGTCAAAATGTGATGCATGGCATGATTGTGAGGTCACAATGCGAATGTATCATGGCTCATGTTACTAGCCACTCACTGGTCTGTCCGAGACTCAAATGTATATGGCGGTGGGTTAGCCTCTGGGTTAAAGGTTTCCCTCGTCTTACCAAAGACCCGGGTTCGATTCTCCACATTGATACAATGTGTGAAGCCCATTTCTGCTGTCCCACGCCATGATATTGCTGGAATATTGTTAAAAGCAGCGTAAAACCATACTCACTCGAATACATATAGATGTCTGTGATATGGCTTCAGTATTGCTGACTACGGCATAAATTAACATTCACTCACTTATGAGTGAGTGAGTGAGTATGTTTTACGCCGCTTTTAGCAATATTCCAGCGATATCACGGCGGGGGACACCAGAAATGGGCTTCACACATTGTACCCATGTCGGGAATCGAACCCGGGTCTTCGGCGTGATGAGCGAATGCTTTAACCACTAGGCTACCAGACCGCCCCCACTCACTTATGAATGAATCATGGGTCATGTACCTCCATCCATGGTGCTAGGTTGAACTGAGCCGATGGGGAGGCTGCGTGACCCCAGGTTCGTGTGACATGTTGACAGCTGACAGACATGTATCAACAAACATGCACTTCCCAGGATCTGCAGATGTGAGCTTCTACCTAGCCTTGCTCCAAGGCTGTACTGAATGATAAGTCTATGGGTGTATAGTAACTCTATCCTTATAATATGCAAGCCTAGATATGAGGACAGTGCACTAGGCTCTTATAGGGACAGGGGGCACGGGTGGCCCAGTCGTCTAAGGCGCCGCGATTCGCTGTGCAGAGTTGCGTCCCTTAGGCATGCCAGAAATCAATGATTGTGGGTTCGAATCCCGATTCACCCCGATCATGTTTTTAAGTTTGTCAGCACCATACCTGTGCTCGTGGGACCTGCATCACTTCGGGCTTTCCTCCCACATTAAGCTGACACGTCGTGATATAACTGGAATAATGTTAAAAGCGGCGTTAAACCCAACTCACTCACTCACTCTTATAGGGACAACTTGTTGACAACTAATAATGATTGCCTTAGAGACTTGTGCAAGTCTAGCTTCTAGCTCATAGTCACTTACACTACAGCCTAGTTTAGATTGGTGCAATATTGTTGTCGTTGTCATGTGCCAAACTCACCATATGTCTAAATATTAGCTAATATATAATACTGTATTTCCTCTATTAGATGCGAGAACCTTAATTGACGCCGGTCATATGCTCTATCAAGAAAATATAACCCTGGCCTCTATTAGACACTGGGTCTCAAATACTGTGATATGTTGGTCATCAATAATGACCGTTTTGGGCAAATACATCCTTTGACTGTAGAATGTGAGATTCAGTATGGTAGTGAGTTGTCATTGTCGTCAGGTCAACAACTTGGGAAAAATTCATAGACGCCCTGGCATCTAATAGAAGAAATACGGTAATTCTGTTCTATTTAATCAGTGCTATTTTATGGACACAGTTGAAATGTGTTCAGAAGGCTACTGAACAAGGGGTGTCACAATATTTTTCACTGGTGAAAGAATTGCTGCTTTAGGCTCAAAAGAAAGTATAATGTTTCTGGTCCCTGTCCTGTACCAAATTGATTAAGTTGATCGTTCATGGATCTCTCAACAGCTGCTACAATCCAGTCTCTGTTATAATGAAACACAGGAGTTCAGTATATCTTCAACACAGCTAAGCAACTGGTATTTTGGGGAATAAATATAGCCGTCAGCTTTTATAAGACTAAATATAACTTGTGATAACTTAGGGGGTACACTTGGGCTGTTTAATTTACCGTAATAAGCGCTCAGGGCGCTCTCAAAATTAGAAATGGGGGGCTCTTATTAGAATATTAAATTGGTGAAAAACAACAGAGATGAAAGATCTTTCATTTCGTGGTTTATGCTGACAGCCTGAAATGTTTATATACGACAGACATATTTTTCCAGAATTTAATTTCCTCATAATTAAGGGTGCATATAACATACGTATTATACAAGAATATATATGTCTTGTGTACATTCATCAGTCGGAAGGGTGCTAATTGGGATTGTTCACTGGCCAATATATTAGCAAATATCGCCATGGGCGCTTATTACGTTGATTACGGTATGCCAAAAGCTGATAAGTATTTTACTAATTTGTATATCGAGTGGGACCCTTCCAAGTTCTCCATATACTAAAACATTTAGGGTCAATGTCCTCAGACCAGTGGCAATATTAATTTTTTATAAATACTTCTTTTGAACAGCTTCAGCTTTTTCATATCCCCAAACTTCGGACCCATACAGTAGGACTTACCATAAAGTCAAATGCTTTTAATTAACAGTCTAAGGATAGAGGTTTCTTGCCATTTTGAGTAAACAAAACAATGTTTGAGATGCGATCTCTATCCAACTTTTAATATGTAAATTGTTAAAAGAAAAAAGAACAACATTCTAAATTTGTTTGTGTGGGAATTTAAAACATCTGTTTAGAATAAGGAAACATACAAAGCAAGGTCTAATGAATTTAAGAATGAGCTTTCTCCATAACAATCATCTGATGATTTTCAAGGCAAACTGGATGTAGACACTGCAGTGTTACTACAATTATAACAATAGAGATTAAAAATTAGTAAGAATATATAAATTTTAATTTATAAGATGAAAAATTGTAGTTGGTATATGTACCTTTGAATACATATTTAAACTAATATATATATATATAACATTTCATTCATAAATACGCCCCTAAGTTAAATGTAAAGGCGTAAGTTATTTGTCCATTGTCACCTTGGTATTGTGACGTCATAGTTCTCCTAAATGTTAGGACGTCACGTAACTAAATGTTACTACTTCATGTCCGTTATTCAGTTATGGCCTGATGAGACTCGTACGTGGTACGAGTTGATAGCGCTAGCCTATTAAAACTGTGTTCAATCTCACTGCAGTTATTTAAATATTACTATACATACATACATACACACACACACACACACACACACACACACACACACACACACACACACACACACACACACACACACACACACACACACACACACACACACACACACACACACACACACACACACACACACACACACACACACACACACACACACACACACACACACTGTACTGAATTTTCTAATGTTTAAAATTTGTAAAAAATAACCCTTACAAATTCCAAAATGGACTTCAGTGATTTCCATTTTTATTTTATTTTGAACTTTGTATTATGATATCTAGTTGATGACATAGCTTTTCAGTGCCTGTTTCCTTTCCAAATTCTTGAAATATTTTGTTCACCTCTCTGATAAATACTTGTGTTGCTGTCAAATTTCACAACATTTACTGACAAACTTTACATTGCATAAGACCTTCACATTTCACCAGGGGTCCGGAAAATTTAAGATCCCAATCGGACATTTGCATTTAGGTCACGCCCCCTTCAAATAGCGTATTTTTGTGCGACTTTTCACACACATTACAAGTTGTTACGTTCAGTGTTCCCTTGTTATTGCGCGCTTCAATATAGCGCTAACTCGGTTATAGCATGCGGTAAAGCATGGCTCACAAAATTTACTAACATTTTTGATAAATTCAAGTTTTCCAATGACACGATGTTTTCCCCCATCATTATCAGCTGATCACCGCGATCACGTAACACCGGAGTAATGATTTCACTTATCGCATCACCAAGCCACTGTACTGCAATGCATGCATACAGCCTCATGGGTGCCAATACCATGTAGATATGGGTGTTTATACATTGAAAATATACATCATACAAGGTCGACTCTTTATATACTGATTGTAAAACGTCAACAAATTTAACCGACCTGGAATGACTGATAACTGATCGCAGAGCCTCGCTTTGAACCGCTACCAAGTGGTTTGCTGTTACAATAAAAGCAGTTGTGGTCATCCCTGATGTGTCATCGAATCACGGAACATGTATTTCAGGACATCTTCACAAATAGATCATTGTTAAGGCGAAAAGATATTCTGACCATACCCCAGCGTGAACGTTGCCGATTGAGGTGAAGGCTACACTGGTTAACTGTCTATAGATGTGTTAGTAAGATTTACCGCTTGTATCCTGCACGCCACATGCGCAGTCAGTTTAAGGTTTGACCTGCCGAATTCTGCATCAGTACATTGAGAAATATAGAAAACTAAACGAGCTCCCGTGTAATACCAATTTTATGAAACGAGTGGATAGTTCTGGTATAGCACAATAACTACTCTTGTATACGGACAGACAGATTAGAGAGAAATACTCTCATCAAGTTAGACTTAATGTGACAGTCAGATGATTTGTGCTTTCGAATATATTGGGGCCGTGGGGACTGTCATCTCCTGATTAGGGCTGGGACGAGTCCAAATTTACCACCCGGGTACCCCCCCTATTACCCGACCCTACCCGGGTACCTGCTGTAGGTCTCAAGAGATAGATACAAAATGTCTGATTTGGAAACGTGTGACCGTACTCCTGTCAAAATGTATTTAGATACAGGTATAAAATGATCTGATCATGCATACACTGAAGTTGACTGAAGTTTTTTATCTTTGTGCAAACATATAAAGTCAGAAGGAATGCGTGCATAGTCGGAAAGAAATGTGAACATTTGTCACTTATAGTGTAACCATAGAGTTCTAGATAATTTTTGCCATTAAAATATATAATCACGTAACTAACCACGGGTCCGGGTAGTCCTATGGGTACCCAGGTCCTACTCATCGATCAGTACCCACCCGACCCGGGTACCCGAGTTACCCGGCCCAGCCCTACTTCTGATGACTTTTGTTTTAAATTCATTTGTTTTTTGTTTTGTTTCCAGGCATGTAAGGATCATATGCGAGACCCCAACTTCTGTATCGTGGCCCGAGTGGAAGCATTCATAGCTGGCTGGGAACTCGATGAAGCAATGAGACGTGCCGAAGCATACTTAGAAGCAGGTACGAAGTGTTAAGTATACAAACCTGTCAAACAAAAGAATTTACAACACAAAAAGAAGTTAAAGACCTAATTATTTCATATTACTACAGTATGTATTTCCATATCCCGTAACTTCATTGGAGAAGTATACTTTCAGTATAGCGTCTTTCCACCAGCAAGGGCTACAGATACTTTTTTGCCCGTGAAGATCCAGGGCAGAATAGGTCTTCAGCAACCCATGCTTGCAGTAAAAGGCGACTCTGCTTGTCGTTTAAGGCGACTAACGGAATCGGGTGGTCAGGCTTGCTGACTTGGTTGATGCATGTCATCGCATCCAAATTGCGTGGATCGATGCTCATGATATTTATCACTGGAATGTCAGGTCCAGACTCGATTATTTACAGACCGCTGTCATATAGCTGGAATATTGCTGAGTGTGGCATTTAACAACAAACCAACCAACCAATCCAGATACTTTTTGTTTTGAGCCATTTAGTACTCACGTGTCTGTCACACTGGGTATTTTTAGTTTTCTTTGGGTATGCAATATATTTTTACTCCCTTGGGTCCAGTCAGTTGGGTATTTCTACATCAATGAGAGAACACTTTTATTATTAATTCTGCTTAAATGCTATTTTAGTTGACTTCTAATTTGTATCTGGTCGTGCGCTGGCCCAAGTGTGTGGAAGGTTGAAAAAACTTGCTACCAAGAGATACATGTCTATGAAAATTAACAATAACCAAGATCCGGCACTTTTTTATGCCATGTTCACTACAGTAGAGTGCAAGTGATTGTGATGCCTGCATTTGATAAAAAAATTAAAGATCTGTGATGAAATAGAGGTACGCTAGATGAAAATAACTCATTTGAAAATTATCGGGAAATGTTTCATGCATATTTGTATGCAAACAATGCAAAACTAATTGGGTGATAGTGATTTATTGTGTATATTTTACGCAAATACACAGATTATCTGGGTGCTGTTGCAAAAGCACTAAGGTGATTGTAACTCCCATACTTTAACAGAGACTTTTGACAATCGTTGCACTAAGGTTGTTTCAGGACCCTTAAGCTCTGACCAAGCCATGTTTTGTTTGGGATCTGTTTTCACAGTACTGCTTCTGGATGAAATGTTGTGGTAGCATCTGTTGAGTTGACCTTTTTTGTGTGTAGTTATGCCTGTCTGTTCTTGGAAACAAATAGGTCATCTGTCGCAAAATTTCAACGAGACCATCCCCTTTGTATCTAGTGTTTAATAATCATCAGTCACTGATTAATTAGAGTGAGTGAGTGAGTGAGGTTTTACGCCGCTTTTAGCAATATTCCAGCAATATCACGGCGGGGGAGACCAGAAATGGGCTGATTAATTAGAAAAATTCAATGAAAGTATTTATCAGGTCTGGTCGATACACCAACTGCGCTATACGATACGTATCACGATACCTTGGTCACAATCCGTATCACGATACTTGTGCTCTCATCTGTGGTGCGTAAACCATCTTTTTAATAAACAGGATGGCCAAATACCTGGCACACTTGGCAGTGTCAAGTATAAATAGATGAAAATATTTGTTTTCACAACTCATTTTCACTGGTAATTAGTGTTTTGGTGTAACGTTTATCAAAGAATACATTTAAAGTAAGAATCGATACTTTTTACTTTGGGTGCGATTGTAATCAATACTTGTATCGAGAAGTAAAAAATCTTGATCCACTTATGCATCAGTGTATCATCCCATTACTAGAATTTATAGCCCTGATGGTATTCTTGCTGTTAGTTTGGATCAGACAGACTGTCCTGTCAGTAATGCCACACTTTCTATTATAGCATGATGAGATAAATTCGAGGCTTTTTGTCAAATGTTGATTTAGAATCTTGTGGGGGGGTCCTCAGGTTAAACAAGTTTGTCTGCAGTTTAATTGGTGCCTGTCATGGTCGTGTCATTCTTGTGATGTCTTCTGTTCCAGGAGCAGACGCCATCTTGATGCACAGCAAGCGGAAAGATCCGTCCCAGATTGAGAGCTTCATGAAGGCATGGAATAACAAGGTGGGGATAAAGAAATTAGGCACCGACCGTTAAAAAAAGAAAATTATTTGTTCTCAAAAGCTAGAAAGAAAAAAGAAACACAGTCCACTTAATATGCTGAAAATCAAAAAAAAATTTGGGCTCTCCCTTTTTGAGAAAAATATAATACACCTTGAAGGGCTATCTCAAACAACAGGGAGAATTGGTCAACCCATGCTTGTTGTAAGAGGCGACTAACAGGATCGCGTTGTAAGGCCTGCTGACTTGGCTGATGCATTTCATCATATCCTGATTGTGTGGATTGATGCTCATGACATCTGACTTGATTACCGTATTCAACGTAATAAGCGCTCACAGGAATATTTGCTAATATATTGGCTTGTGAACAATCCCAATCAGCACCCTTTCGGATTGATCAACATACTTATTTAGACTTATTTATTCGTGTATAATACGCACTAGTGTGTTATATGCACCCTTAATTATGGGCAATTAAATTCTGGAAAATATATCTGTTGTGTATAATATGCACAAAATCTTCTTTTATATCATTTCAGGCTGTCAGCATAAACCACAAAATTAACAATCTTTCAACTCTGTTTTTTATCTCACCAAAATTATATACTAATAAGAGCCCCCTATTTCTAATTTCGAGAGCGCCCTGGGCGCATATTATGTCGAATACAGTATTTACAGACTGCCGTCATGTAGCTGGAATATTGCGGAGTGCGGCGTTCAACAACAAAAACAAACAAATCAAACAAACAGAAAAATTCCACATCTCCCACTCGTTCGTTATGAATCAACGGCCAAGGATCGAACCACGGACCTTCCACTTTCAATTGTGAAAGAGTGTGTTGTGCAATAAACTGAGGCTGATCTGAAAGTTGTGGCTGTTTTCAGGGGCCGGTCGTCTTAGTGCCGACGACGTACTACACCACGCCGACCGAGCAGTTCCGAAACATGGGCGTATCCACAATCATCTGGGCCAATCACAATATCCGGGCGTCGGTGAAGGCCATGCAGGAGCTGAGTAAGCAGATTCATCAAGAACAGAGCCTTGTTGGCATCGAGAAGGACGGGAAGGTGAGGGAAGATGCTGAGTCTGCTGCAGTAAGGGGGGTCGGGTAGCCTAGTGGTTAAAGCGTTCACTCGTCACGCTGAAGACCTGGGTTTGATTCCCGACATGGGTAAAATGTGTGAAGCCATTTCTGGTGTCTCCCTCTGTAATATTGCAGGAATATTGCTAAAAGCGAAGTAATACCATACTGACTCACTCTGGTGCAAACCCGTGAAGATCCGGGGTAGAATAGGTCTTCAGCAACCCATGCTTGCCGTAAAAGGCGACATTTATAAGGCTCCTGATTCGATTAAATATATTGAGAGCGATTTTGAAAAAAGACCCATGACAAACTCACATTAAAAAAAAAATTGACCTGTCATTGTAATGCCAGCACCTGGTGTTGTAACACCATCACCCAGAGTCACTTAATGCCAATGTCTAGTGTCACTATAATGCCAATGTCTAGTGTCACTATAATGCCAATGTCTAGTGTCACTATAATGCCAATGTCTAGTGTCACTATAATGCCAATGTCTAGTGTCACTATAATGCCAATGTCTAGTGTCACTATAATGCCAATGTCTAGTGTCACTATATTGCCAATGTCTAGTGTCACTATAATGCCAATGTCTAGTGTCACTATATTGCCAATGTCTAGTGTCACTATAATGCCAATGTCTAGTGTCACTATAATGCAAACACCAAGCGTCACCATAACATTTAAGTCTTCAGGTTTCGAATTGTTGCTTCCATTTTCTAAGAAAACAATGGATAGTGTCAAAGGCTTGCTCAGTTAACAATTTCTAGTTCTAGCCACTTTCTTAGCAAGATAGGGGCGGTTGGGTAGCCTAGTGGTTAAAGCGTTTGCTCGTCACGCCGAAGACCCGAGTTCGATTCCCGACATGGGTACAATGTGTGAAGCCCATTTCTGGTGTCCCCCGCCGTGATACTGCTGGAATATTGCTAAAAGCGGCGTAAAACCATACACACTCACTCACTCACTCACTCTTCGCAAGATACGAGTATGAATATCCCCAACATATATACTGTGTAAATATAGGGACTAATCTCCATGATTTATTTACTGTCTCGATTTTGACGTACATCATTATCTGCCTGAAACGGAGACACGGTCTGTGTGTAAATTCGGTCAGAATTACTGTTTGATTGATATATTATCAGGCAAACAAAGAAGGACTTGAATATCAATATGGCTATGAATATGACTGCTGATTTGCTGGAACCGTTAGTGACCTAGCTTTGCCTGTTGCAGGTTGTGACAGTGAAGGAGATTTTCCGTCTCCAGGACGACCAGGAGCTGGTGCAGGCCGAGGACAAGTACCTCCCCGAGAGATAATGATAGTGCTTGTATAGAGTCAACCCTGGATAAAACAACTCATCATCTACAGTGAAACCTGGTCATAACAAACTCCCACATCACCATCTATAGTAAAACCTGGTTATAACAAACTCCACCATCTATAGTGAAACCTGGTTATAACAAACTCTGTCTATAGTGAAACCTGGTTATAAAAAACTCCACCATCTATAGTGAAACCTGGTAATAACAAACTCCACCATCTGCAGTGAACTTCTTGTTGAGTGAAACCATTATTGTTAATAATAGCCAATTAACATATGACTGGTTGATATAAGCATATCCATCGCAGAGCTCTAGAAGCTTTTGGTTATTTGAGTTTTTCTCAGGGGTTTGATTTTAATTGGGTATCCACATTGTTCAGAGAGTATTCAATTTTTTTTACCCACCTGTTTCTCTGACAAATGGGTATTTTAACTTGAAAATCTGTTTCGTAACAATCCCTGAAAATCATTAAAAACTAAATGAATAGTAAAAGTCAAAATCTAGAATTGTAGGAAACATGTTATTTTTTTTATCACCAATCAGCAACTGTTTAAGATACAACATGTACATTGACTAGGCACCATGTGTTTTTCGATTGGTATCTGTCAGTATGTTTGTCGCAGAAGCTTTTAATGTAACTCGGTAAGTGAGTTTCACAATCGGCTGATACACAATCATTTTATCTATCAGTTGAAGTATACGCAGTCGTTTTATCTAATAGTTATAATATAATTAATTTCATTCAGAAAGCATATTTACAGTTTTCGTTGCTTAGGATTTGATTTGTCTGCATATTTCAGTTTATTTAATGCATATTTTACGCAAATATGCAGCTTATCTTGAGCTCTGTTATCTGTCATACTCATTCAACAGCCCAACCTTATGGAAATGAGGCTTCAGTTCAACATGGTAATACAAATATTCACTTTACTGCTTGGGACCAGACCCCGTTCCACAAAGCGATCTTAGCGCTATGATGAACATAAGCCTATGTTAAAACATGGGAGTTAAGATCAACTTAGCGCTAAGACACATTGTGGAACAGGGCCAGAGGAAAGAGGCCGTCTTATCTGATATAAGGACTCCATTGACTTCTATTTGTGGGGAGGGTTGGAGGTGGTCAATGCACCAATAGGTGAAAAGATGTAAGAAAGAATTGTTGTAAAAATGAAGCTAATTCTTAAGGCTTAAAAAAATAAAAGAATTGGTTCTCGGGCAATGACTTTTGAAAATATAGTGTGGGCGGGCGGTGTTGGTTTTTTTGCCTGTTCAAACTAGTATTAACCAAATGAACAGCTGTCTACCATCAACCTGGGATAGGGCCTCCCTACATACACAAGAATATAAACTCCTATTGCCAACATTACCATATTATGAGATGCGCAGTAAAGGGAAGTAACTGCATACTTTAATGAGTGAGTGAGTGAGTATGGTTTTACGCCACTTTAAGCAATATTCCAGCAATATCACGGAGGGGGACACCAGAAATGGGTTTCACACATCGTATCCATGTCGGGAATCGAACCCGGGTCTTCGGCGTGACGAGTGAACGCTTTAACCACTAGGCTACCTGACTGCCCCTCATGCTTTAATGGATCGCATTGTTTGTAAGTATTAGGATTTTTTGTTCTTTTAAAAAACGAAACGTTTGGCTGACTTTATGATGTAGAGGGTGGTGCCTGAGAACCAAGACTATTATATTTTTTAGCCTAAATGTACTCATAGAAAAAGTTAAAACAAAGGATATATATTTTATGAAACAGCATTTTTATTTTGTGTTTATTTGTTTTACTTTTATGCTCTTTTGAGTAGCTCATTAAAAGAATAAATTGTTGTGTCCAGACATAAAATGTCTGGTGGTGAGTTACAGTGGACCTTCACATGTTTTACATTGCTGAACATGACATCTGATGTTGACTGATCCTTGTAGAGTTAATGTTCCTGTGTTGATTACCTGTGGTTGTTTACCTGTGGTTGTTTACCTGTATTTGTTTACCAGTGGTTGTTTACCTGTTGGAGTGGTGTTAATAAGTGAGAGATAAACTGTGGGTGTTTACCTGTGGGAGTTAAGCTGTGGAAGTTAACCTGACTTTGTTTTCCTGTGGTTGTTTACCTGTGGTTGTTTTCCTGTGGAAGTTAACCTGACTTTTTTTCCCAGTGGAAGTTTGCCTGTGGTGTTTTCCTGTGGAAGTTAAACTGTGGTTGTTTTTACCTGTGGAAGTTTGCCTGTGGTGTTTTCCTGTGGGTGTTCACCTGCAAGTCTTTGTCTGTTTGAGTTTGACTGTGGGTGTTCTGGTCATGTGCCCTTCACGACCCCTGGGATTGCTGTTTTGTCTAATGTCAATGTCCTGACCTCTTTAACCTCACACGTTTGCCTTCCTGTATGCCAAAGATGCAAGAGATTTGTTTTCATGTTGAATGATTGTGGATCTACGTATATTTTTCTGCTTCATTTTATGGTTCATACCTTGCCAAATATTCTTCAGTTCACTTACTGACAATCAAGGTTTGACCTCTTGTTGGTTAACAGTTTTAGCATGATGTCAGACATTAACTTTGTTTATTTTGTGATGGATTTTTGGTCTTATAGTATGCAGTGAGATAAAATCAGTTTAAAATGAAGTGTTTTCCAGAGTGAAGGGAGACAACTCTTATTTAAAGTGTTTTCCAGATTGAAGGGAGGCAACTCTTATTTAAAGTGTTTTCAAGATTGAAGTGAGGCAACTCTTATTTAAAGTGTTTTCCAGACTGAAGGGAGGCAACTCTAATATAAAGTGTTTTCCATATTGTAGGGAGGCAACTCTGATATTAAGTGTTTCTTCATATTGAAGGGAGGCAACTCTTATGTAAAGTGTTTTTCAGATTGAAGGGAGGCAACTCTCAAATAAAGTGTTTTTCAAGATTGAAGGGATGCAACTCTGATATAAAGTATTTTCGACAAGCTTGTTCACAGCGCATGACACCTTCTTTGCCCTCCCGGTCATCACTGCCACCAGTGTGAATACATTCATTACAAGAATCTTGAAAATTTTGCCTCAAACTCCAAATGTAGTGACATGTATAATGGGTGTATGTCTCTGGGAATGCCATTATAGTGAATTAGGATAAGGTTATACAACTAACTTACTATTTCCCAGATGAAGTTACATTCGTCTGTTTAACCAGGTTGGTTTGAGATTGCAGACTAACAGAAAAGCAGCTCACTTCCCCCTGATATTCTCACTACGCTACAATCATAATGGTTGAAATGAAATAGAATTTCAACTTGACAACAACAACAAAGCAATTTAGATGGGGGAAGAGTTTTCAATCATCACTTGTTTGTAAACATGACAGTCAGTCAGTTTCGAGTTCCACTCCCTACATGTGAGGAGGTTGTGTTTTCTGGAGTTAAGGATATTGATTCTGATACAAAAATGTTCAGAATTTATACCCTCATGCCTCTTCCAGGAAGGAGAAAAGACATTTTGAATTTTTGAAAATGAAAATGTTATTGTTCAACTTTATACTTTCAATTAAAAACATGAGAAATAATAAACATAGTTGTGGTTGTCAAATGTTTGGGACAAATCTCAAAATTTGTTAAAAACATTAAAATTAATATCTAGATCTACTAGATCTCCTTTTCAGTTAGACTGCAAAGCTAATTTTAAATGATTTTTATTTTTTAGTATTCTATGTATCCAAGGAATATGTAGCATTTTGAAATATGTCAGTAAGTAAACAGATCATATTTCTGATGTGTGCATGTGTCGTTTTTAGTATTTCTCTGTTTTTCAAATGTTGAACATTAGACATCCCTCACTGTATGTATTTTTGCTTGTATTCATAATAACATATATATTTCTTTTTTGATATGCTTTTCTTATACAGGAAACCAAGTGCTATTTCGCTTGTATATCTACGGGACTTATGAGACTTTGTTGTATTGAGAAATTATTATAATGGTATGAAAACCTTTCTTACTTTTTCAAGTATATTTCTCCGCCTAAAAATGGAAAATATTACGGCTGGGACGAGTCCAAATTTACTACCCGGGTACCCACCCCTCTATTACCCTACCCTACCCGGGTACCCACCACGCTATTACCCTACCCTACCTGGGTACCCACCACGCTATTACCCTACCCTACCCGGGCACCCGCTGTAGGTCTCAAGAGATACAAAATGTCCGATAGGAAACTTCTTTACCATAGCCCTGGCAAAACGTATTTAGATACATGTATCAAACAATCTGGTCATGCACACACTGAAGTTGACTTAAGTTATATCTTTATTCAACCATATGAAAAGTCAACGGGAATGGGTGCATAGTCAGAAAGAAATGCGAACATTAGTGACTTGTAGTGTAACCATAGAGTTCTAGATACTTTTTGTCATTAAACAATATATCACATTGCTGACCATGGGCCTGGGAAGTCCTATGGGTACCTGGGTTCTACTCAGTACCCACCCGACCCGGGTACCCGAGTTACCTGTCCCAGACCTAGAAAATATGTTGTCTTAAATTGTTTAGTGAAGGAAACAAGTTTCTCGGGACTTTGAGCTACATTTGGGAATCTGTGGTTGGTTTTATTTATTCTCAAAAGCAATTTATCTGAAAGTGTGTGTCTGTTTTCATAAGTGCTTAACAATGCTGATAATGTTGATTGGATGACAAATTTTGAAATTTCTTGTCTTCCTTTATTATTTGTATCCATTAAAAATGGGAAAGGCAAGTAAAACAAAATCTAAATTATTTCTATTTCATGGTTTTTGGCCCAGGGTCCGTTCCACAAAGATTTTAACACTAAAACGATCGTAATACCCATACTATAGGGTTAAGAGTATATTAGAGCGAAGATAGTTTTGTAGAACTGTTAGAACTGTTCTGCCTTAGTATATTAATTTATATTTCTCATGGAAGTATTTTTGTACAAAGAGAATCTTGCTTGTCTTTGCTGCGGACTGTAGCCCTTATGTTATCCCATCATGTGGAGATTGATACTGCTCTTTTATGCATGAGTGCACGAACAAATTTATTTTAATAAACAGTATGAGAAAAGATTTGTTGTTTGTTATGATAATGATGTTACAACATTCAGATTGGGCACCAACAGTAGAGTGAGTGAGTGAGTATGGTTTTATGCCACTTTTATCAGTATTCCAGTGACAGGGGACACCAGAAATGGGTTTCACACATTGTACCCATGTCGGGAATTGAACCCGGGTCTTCGGCG